GCTGCTCTGGTTTGGTGATGGTTTGTGTGGAGATGCTGATGGCGCTTTTGGTTCCTTCCTCCTCTGTGCCCATTTGTGTAGACACAGACACTCTTGCTTTGCTTTGGGCTTCCTCCTCCGTGACAGTCTGTGTAGACACGGACACTGTTGTTTTGCTTTTGGTTCCTTCCACCTCTGTGACAGTCTGCGTCGACATGGATACTGTTGTGGCATTCTGTATGGACACGGACACTGCTGCTTTGCTTCTTGTTTCCTCTTCCTCAAGAAGACGCTGCATCTGTATGTTTTGCTGCACCACACTATGTATGTTTTGCTGCATCACACTATGTAGTGTTTTGTTTCTAAGCATGTTGCAGACTGTGCAGAGAAGACAAAGCAGAACTAACAAGAGGGAACTTAACATTTTCAAAAACTGCTGTGTCAAGACAGAAAGGTTGGAAAAAATAAATCTTTACCCCTCCCCACAGGGGCTGGGTGTGGTTGCCGAGGCCCCAGATGTAGCAGCCTAGATTAGGACAAGCAAACAGAATTTGGTACATATTCCAAATCACGTTCATTGCCTCACAGGTTATAATGCAATAGACATAATAGATCAATAAAGCAATTCTCATACCATACCCTGGTCTATACATGAGCATTACAATCGCCAGATAATTCCCCACGTTCGGGAAAATATAGAGAGCTAGGTATAAGACCCAAAAGAGCATGTTAAGCATCATAGTGAATAGGTACCCTCTACAATACAAAATTGTAATTCTGACTTTTCTCAGTACCTTCTTGCCCTACGTTGGGTGCCAAAAATATGTCCTGGTTTTGAATGCAAAACCAGTGAGATACTCCAAGTCAGAAATACAATTTATTGGGAAAAGGAAAAAAACAAGAAAAATACATGCAATGATACAAAAGGAAGACCACTGACAAAGTCAGAATACAACCTGACACACCTCTGGCCAGCGTGCTGGTAGCAGTCCAAATTGGAGTGGCTGCAGTCCCCTTGGAATAGCAGATGTGGTTGCTGTGTCTTCTCGGAAACCTGTGGAAAGGCTGCTTCTCTGTCTAGAAATCCCTGGATTTATCCAGGTGGGAATGCCTAACTCCTCCCCCTGGGCGCAGCATCTCACAATGGGCTGATATTATTCTGAGTCAGGAGATGAGTCCTTAATCACCTGTTAAAAGGAACTGGCTCCTGGAGAGTTTTATCTCTGAGTCATGTGGCAAGACATAGATGGGCCTATTAACAGGAGATAAGGAAAACTGCCCAGAGGCAACTGCTACTCGGATGGTAATAGGAAACATCTTGGTGCTTCAATCTTGGACAGCTGTGTTTTGCTGTAAATTCTTGTTTGCCCACTATTCTTCTCCCTAATCTCCTCCCCTCCCAAGTTGTCAATCCTCCCTAGGCCTACCCCTTTCTCCAGAACATTCCTTGTCAATCCCTCAGTACTCGATACACCATTTGTTTCTTTGTATTCTTCCCCTCCCCTGTTTTCCCTGATAGATTTATGAAATATTAGTCCTGCCTTAGACTCCTCCCCAGCTTTGTCCTCATTGGTTGGTTGTCCTATATCACGCCCCCTAAGTTGTTGTATAAAAGCCTCTGTATACCTCCTAAGTCTTGTCTTGGGCTTGGTCTTGGATCCCCATGTTATCCATCTAATAAATCAACCCAGTTCTACCCCAAGACCCGTGCCACTCTTTTCTGTTCCTGTGCCAGACCAACGATAACTGGGATTTGCAGAGCTCACAGGGGGTATGTCGCACCCCTGTTGCTGCTGACACCAAGCACGCCACCAACACCCAGCACGCTGCGACACAGACACAGCGACACCAGCTCCCCTATTTTTGCCTGAGAGCCTGTCGAGGATTTGGTTCAGGAATGGTTAGCAGAAAAAAGACATAGCAAGATCAATTTATTGGAGCTGCAGACTCTGCAGATTAGAGACCCTGCAGACTAAGCAGTAGCAGCTTACTTGAACAAAGGCAGTCTTCTGCTAAAACAAAGGCAGTCTTCTGTTAGAACAAAGACAGCTTCAAAAGCAGGGTACCCTTGAGATAAGGAAGCCTGGATGAAACTGGTATGAAACTGGTAACGGCACATAGAAGCAGGGACTTTGCATTACACGATACCCACAAAAATGTAGAAGTAGATACATAAAATCCTGTTGATGTAAGAATGATACAGCAATAATAAACCAATAAGGAGCTTGGCTTTTGCAATATGTATGAACTAATTAAGAACTGTATTTAAGCAGCTGATGTATACCAAATAAACTGAGTTTGCAGATGATCAATCGATGTCTGCTTCTCCCTTCTCCGACAAGAGCCCCCCCTTACTTTCAAATGTATAATGATTCGGAGGGAGGGAGTTTACATTTTTTCCATTTCAGGGGAGGCTCAGACACCTGCCTTTACAAACGAAGACAGACTGTCCCTCTCCCAGTGCCACCATCCCAGTGCCACCAGTTCTGTCCCACTGTCACCTCACCAGTGCTCCCAGTTCCATCCATCCAAGCACCCTCCCAGTTGCCCCCAGCCCACCCAGGACTCCCAAACCCTCTCCCAGTCCCTTCCCAGCCCCACCAGGACTCACCCAGACTCCTCCCAGTCTCTTCCCAGCACAACCAACTTCATCCCAACCTCTGCTTTTCCATCCCCAATCTGCTTCTAAATCCTCCAGGCTCTCTCCAATCCCTCCCAGTCACACCCAGCACCCCCAAACTCCCTCCCAGCGTCCACCAGGACCCCATTGTCCTAGGTTGACTGTATGATGCCTTTATCCCCAATCGTCTGCCCTGTTTATGTTGAATAGTAAGTTCTACACCTTTAAGACTTGTTCCAGGAGTGAAGGGGGGGGTGGGGGTGAAGAAGCGCGGAGTTTGTTTTTGTCATGGTTTGACACTGGCACAATGCCAGTGCCCCCCATGAAAATGCAATTTCTCAACTGAATGCTGTGAAATGCGATCGAGAGCAGAGCAAAGCAGGCCCAAGCTTAATAACAAGAAAAAAACTTTATTAAACTACTACCACTATGCTACTAAAGGGGGGGGGGGGGGGGGGGGAAAGAAGAAAGAAACACACACAATTCAAAATGAAAACCTTCCAAAGCATTCCTCCTCCCACCACCCAACTCCAACAGTCCACAGTGAGAGACAATCTGGACCCCAATCAGGTTTCCACCCTCCAGATAATCAACACCCAGTCCATCTGCAGGGAGAGAGGAGTCTCTCTTGTGCCACAGACCCCCCAAGAAACACAGCTGCCACATCCTGTGCTTCCATGTCACCACATGGCACCGCCCGGAGAAAAAGTTTGCCAGTGGTGACCCTCTCCTTTCCATACACGGTGCTCTCACCACCAATGCATGGATGGACAGACTGCTTTTAGGATTTTTTTTTTTCCTTTCAAGGATGCCCTGCCAAGAGGGGAAAAAACAACAGTTCAGTTTTTCATTTTTGGGACCAACAGTCCCCCCATTTTCCCCTGGGGCCGAGGATCCACGAACAGAGCTCTTCTTCTCTTCTTCCTCTCTGAAGACAGGGGGCACCACCACAAACCTCCTTAACTTTTCACTGTTCGCTCCACTTCTGTCTTTTCCCAGCTGAAGCATGGTCTCTTTGGCTCACCAGCATCTTCCTAAAATACAGTCTCTCTTGGAGGAGAAGATCAGTTCAATCTGTGGCTACCAAGAAAAGTCCAGCCAAACAGCCACTCCATCATCTCCTCCCACCTAGAATTTCTCCTTCCAACATCCCAGATCCCAGGCTGTCTCTCTTCCTCTCTTTTCAAACCAAGGAGGAGAAAAATTTCACAAAGCTTTCATTTCTCAGGAAGGGTTAAAAGTCCCGACTCCCAGAGATGGCTCGCTGCCCAGGCTCCAGCTCCCACAGGCGGCTGGGCACCTTGCGGCCCCCCTGCTCTTCTCCTTCCCCGCGGTGAACTGCTGATAAAAACCACCGCCGTCTCTTTTTCTCTCTTGGGAGAGAGAGACTCTGGGGGGGGAACGGAGACATCCCAGATTTCTCCACCCTTCCATCTGCAGGGGGCCAACCCGGGTTCCAGTCCCTTCACCCTTGGGCCTACCTCGGAAGGCCACATGGCTTCTCCCCTCCCCCACCCAGCTCGTGGCTGGGCAGGGGAGAGTCCTGCACTGACCGCTGACCGGAACCCAAGAGAGCGAGTTCCTCTGGGAATTCTGCTTTTAACCCCTCTGTGTTCTCAGAGGCGTGTCCACCTTCAATTGGTCAAAGTCCAAATTGACCTCTTCCTTCCGGAAAAATTCTTTTTCCGTGTCAAACCACGACAGTTTTCAAGAACTGCACTCCCTCCTCCGTATTTCTGCTCCTGGACTGTGTTACCTGCGGATGGACCGACATAGAGAGAGAGCTCTCCTTTACTTTTTCTAGTTAGTTTTAGCTAGCTGAGGCAAAGAAGTTCCCTGGACTGTGTTTTTTTCCCTTTCTTTGGACCTGCTCTGGACTGAACACCCAGAAGAGCAGCAGCAGATCGCACCTGTGGCCCAGCGGGCCAGGCCTGGGCCATAGCATTTCCAGCGCTGGAGGGACTGATCAGAGACTGAGTGAGTCCAGCTGCCACCAGGGGGATTTTTTCTAAATTTGTCTCTCTCTTGCACTGGCGAGAAGTTTTATTGTTTAATATTGTTTAAGATTGCTTGTTTAATAAACAGGTTTTTTCCACTTTCCTCCGAAGAGGTATCCTTCCCGAACTGGTTGGGGGGAGGGGCCAATTGAATCTGCTTTCCTAAAGGAACCCTTTTAGGCTTCTTTCCCCAAATTTGCCCTTAACCAGGACACCCTGGAACCCCATCCCACCCTCCCCAGTATCCTTCAAAGCCCTTCTCAGCCCTTCCAGACCCCAAAGCCCCTCTTCCAGTTTAAACCAGGCTCTCTCCAACTCCCTCCCAGTTAGTCCCAGAACACCCCAATCCCCCTCCCAGTCCCCCCAGTGCCTCCCCTGTTGAAGAGAGTCGCGGGAGACAAGCCTCATGCTATCATGATCAACAAGTCTCAGTTTATTGCAGTCGATCACAGTTTCTTTATACAAGCACTAATTAGCTCATACATATTGCAAAAGCGAAGCTCAGGATTGGTAACCTTTCTATTAACACATATATCTTTTTGCGATAAGCCTTGCGGTTACTGCTTCCTTATACTTAATTATCTTTCTGCACACCAAGCAATTTCACATCCTGGCTGTTACGAGACATCTGTTGCTCAAGGTTGTTACGAGACATCTGTTGTTTAAGGGCATAGTTTTCATGCTAAAAGTCACGTACTCTCACACTCTCATCAACTTAAAAATGTCGTGTCCCTTGCTGCGCAGCCATTCTTCAGATAAACTCTCTCCACTTCCCCTGTTTTCTTTATAAGCAAGCAAGGATGTGTTCCATTTTTGTTCTATAATTGACATTAAAGTCCTTTGCAAGCACTGAAATACACACGGCAATACAAGCATTAAAATTACTATAACTAACAATCCTATTATCATAAGCTGCAAATATTTAAGCCAACCCGTGATTCCCCATGATTCAAATGATAATCCAAAAAATGTATCATCCCTCTGTAACACCTGAACATGTTGTTGCAAATGCTGAATTTTCTTATGAATAGATTCGGAACTGATTTTAAAATTCATACAGCACATTCCTTCGAAATCTTCACACCCATGCCCATGAGCCAACAATAAAAAGTCAATAGCTGCCCGATTTTGCAATGTTGCATGTCTTACGGTGTCTATGTCTGTGGCCAGTAAACTTAATAGCTCAGACGTGGCATTGGCTCGCTTGCCTACCCAACATTGTAACTTCTCTAACTGAAAACAAGCATGTCCTGCAGCAAGGCTGGGCATAAAAAGAGAGGCAACCACTTGCTCCGCGCAATTAAACAAGTTGACGTTATCGTCACAGGAAGCATCAATGGTTGAGCGCTTTCATCGTGTGGTGGTTACCTGGCTGGTATTGCTATATAGGCCTAATACAGTGCTCTGGCTAGGGAGTGCTATTGTGAGACGCCCAAACGTGCAAGGGCCTCCGGTGGGCCGTTGAGGAATGCCGCTGAATGCTCTGTCCCAACAGATTAAAAAGATTCTGGGTGGCAATCGGCGAGGAATTGTTGTACCTGGGGCTGGGTCTGTTTCTTTTTGAGCTATAGAGTGACAGCAAAAGGAGTGATTTTGCCAATTTTACTGTTGCGGGGTAATATCCGTAGGGAATGTTATATTACACCAAGCACCGTTGCCTTCTGCCTTTGCTGTTCTTCTTGTTGTCTGTGAATCTTCATATGAGCATTGCGGCTTTTGATTTTGAAAAAGAACTTGCCACACTCCTTGCAAGGAAAAATTGTCATTGGGTCGGTCTCGCCGCTTGTTGTGCTGTGGGCAGGTGAGCTCTTGATGGAGCAGTATCTGCTCTGTGTACCAGATTTCTGCTTCGTGCCGGGAATGGTGCACCGTGTTTTTGTCACCTGGTTTGTACCTCCGTGAATGCGAGCGTGGCCATTCAGCGCTTGTCGGGAACTGAACACAGCGCCACAGTTTGGCATTTCACAGATGAAGAAGGATGAAGACAGTGAAAGACCCTGAACAGCAGGTAGATCTATAGGTCCAACAAGAGAGATTGCTGGTGGGTCAGGTGACTTCTGCATTTCCCTTTCTTCTTTTCTGTCTTCTTCCATCTCCTCATCTTCCTCTAACACTTCCTCTTCTCCACTTGTCAAGTATTCATCTCTTTTCTTCTCTAAGCGCGTTCTGTGTTTTCGTCCCAAATGCAAGATTTTCTTCCAGGTATAGTAGTATTCCACACATTGTGCAACTGTCTTAGACTTAACGCTTGGTGATTATGTGCAAAGCAAGCTAAGCAAGCAGTTTGGCAATGGCGTAAAAAGTCTCTCTGTAAAACTGGGAGTAGCGTTTCAGCTACTTCTCGTTCAGTTCCGTATAAAAACTTGGTATTAAATTCCCCCTCAACTTCTCGCAGGATCGGTGCCAGCACTTTCTGCAGGCGGTATTTCCTCCTCTGCTCTGGACTGTTCATCAACAACCGCTGGTCGCGTCCACCTTGCAGGGACCCACAAAGTGCCTGTTGGCATAGAAACACATAAGTAGCCTCTGCCCCAATATACAACCTTAGCTGGGCCTTGCCAGATTCCTGTCTTCGGGTCCCGATACCTGACCATCGCTTCAGGCCCAGGCTGTTTCAACGGGGAAAAATGAGAAATCACAGGCGTCACCTCACTGTTTCCAAAAATACATAAATGATTAAGCACAAACAAACATTTAAGTAGTCTATCCTGTATGCTACTAATGTCAGAATATTTTTCCAAATACTGTTTAAGGGTTCCATTTGCTCTTTCCACTATTGCTTGTCCAGTAGGTGAGTTGGCAATCCCTGTTACATGAGCAATGTTCCAAAACTGCATGAAACGAGCTATACGCTTGCTACAGTAGGCTGGACCATTATCTGTTTTGATTTTCTGCGGGGTTCCCATGACAGCAATACAACTGTGCAGGTGCCATTCTACATGTATAGCCCATTCGCCAGCCTGTGAAGTAGCCCATATATAATGACTATAAGTATCTATAGTCACATGGACATACTTAAGGCGGCCAAAGCTAGGTACATGAGTAACATCCATCTGCCATATCTCATTAGCATGCAGGCCCCTTGGATTGACTCCCACACCCAGACCCATGCCTCTGTTTTGATTACTACAAATTGGACAAGCTTTGGCTATAGCTCTAGCTTCTTCTAAGGGAATCTGAAATTCTTTCGACATGCCTTTAGCATTCTGATGGAAAATAGCATGGCTTTCCCGTGCCTATGACTGCCTAGGAAGTACTGTTTGATGAGAAAGCGAGACTAGCTTATCAGCCTTGGTGTTTCCTTCTCCTAACCCTTCGTCCCATTTATGACTACGAACATGGATGACCGAATATGGTTCAGTTCTATTTCTGAGGGCACGTTTTAATTGAAGAAACAGTTCATAAAGTCGCTGATTCTGTACTTCTCTGATAGTAGCATCCTCAATCCTTGATACTACCCCCACAACATAAAGCGAGTCTGATACAACATTCAACGGTTCATGCAAGTTAGTTACAGCCCAAATGACTGCCAACAACTCCAGTCTGCAAATTGTCGTCTGATTTTGCCTCTAATATTTGTTGATGCCATTGTTGTCCCTTTTTCCAACTACTGCCACCTTCCTGGAGCGTTTTCCAGCGTCTGTGAAAGCCGTAGTGGCATCTGGAATGGGCCTGTCTTCTCTGAGGGGTTTCTGTAGCCAGCTCCATTCTCCTAGCCATCGCAAAGGTTTCGGTATAATGGGACCGGTATTGATTTGTGCTGCAGACGATCATAATGCTTCAGCCAGGGCTGTGGAGTTTAAAAGGTACCAATCTAACGTGGCCTTTTCTATGGGCAGATTAATGTCCGTTGGTTCCAGGCCACTGATTTCCAAAATGCGGATGCGTCCTTTTTTGATCAGCAATGCCAAATTTTCGATTTTTGAAGTTGTAGTTTTTCTTTGTTGCAATGGAGGTGACAGCCATTCCAGTACTGCTGTCTCCCGTTTTCTTTAACTGCTGAGTAACAGCTCCTAGTAGGTGGTCTTCAGTACTCCAAATTGTAAGATGCAGGGGGAGATCAGGGTCAATCCTTGTGACAAATCCTGTAGATATGCAATGCATAATTTTCTGAAGTGCATCTTGCTGAGCTTGGGTGACATGAACAGGGGCACAAGGGTCAGTGCCTTTAAGTAGCGGACGCAATTTGTCTAATAAGATATTAGGGATAACAGTGACTGGCTTCAGCCACTGTAGGTCACCTAGAAGCTTTTGGGCCTCATGCAATGTTGTTATTGATATTTGTATGGACAATTTTTGAGGCACAATCTTCTGTTCTGTGATTGTCCACCCTAGATACTTCCAAGGGGTTGACATCTGAATTTTATCTGGAGCTACTACTAAAGAAAAGTCTGTTAGGATCCTTGTAGCATCTTCAATTGTGAGGCTGTAAAGGGTTCTCTTTGAGCAAGCAGGATGTCATCCATATAATGATAAACAATGGTAGCAGGCATTTTTTGTCGTAGTGGTTGTAGTGCAGCATCGACATACAGTTGACAAAGTGTAGGAGAATTGCGCATTCCCTGCAGTAGAACTGTCCACTCAAATCTTTTGTCAGGTTCTTCATGGTTAAGGGCAGGAAGCGTAAATGCAAACCGTTTGGTATCATTAGGATGCAATGCAATGGTAAAAAAGCAGTCTTTCAGGTCTATTATAAAGATGGGCCAGTCTTTTGGTGTCATAGCTGGGTTAGGCAGTCCAGGTTGAAGTGCTCCCATGGGTTCCATTTGATTATTTACTGCTCTCAAGTCATGCAACAGCCTATACTTTCCGGATTTCTTCTTGATCACAAATATTGGAGTATTCCAGGGACTGGTGGAGGGCTTAACATGTCCTTGTTGATATTGTTCCATGACCAAAAGGTCTGCCTGTTCCAAACTTTCCCATTTTAGAGGCCATTGCTTAACCACAACAGGTTCATTGGTAATCCAAGTAAGTGGCAATGGGAAAGTCCAAGCAATGACCATTACTGTAAAGGGTGATCATTAGTGAGGACAAGACCCAGTTGAGCAAGAATATCGCGGCCAATTAGGCAGTGAACAGTAGGTGGCAGTGCTGTTACAGAAAATGCTGTCGATGCTTGTTTTCCTTCAATCTCGACTGTCAGTACAGGGGTACGATTAGCCAGCGTCATTCCTCCAATGCCAGTGACAGTGGTTGCTGAGGGCTGTATTGGCCAGGTGGAAGGCCAGTGTGCAGGATCAACTATACTCAAGTCAGTGCGTCTATCGAGGAGTCCCTTAAGTGTGATACTGCGTCCTTGATAAGTCAGACGACAGGACTTCTTAGGTCGAGTATTGAGGTCTATGGTGAGCAAGGTTAGGCCCCTCGTAGATCCGAAGCTTCCTTCGTTCCTGGGCTCTTGTGTAAGGGACATTAGTCCCTTGGTCATTTGAGGCAACGGAATCAATCAGGCTAGTCTCTGTCCTTTGGGTACTTTCACGGGGGGATACGGAGTATGAACCATAATCATAAGTTCACTTCTACAATCAGAGTCAATAACCCCCAGCTCAACATACAGACCCAGAGTAGTAGCAGAGGAGCGACCAATTATCAAGCCCCCTATTGGCTGGCCATTTATAAAAATAGGGCCAAAAAGTCCAGTGGGAACCTTATGCAAATGAGTGGAAAGGATGTCAACATCTACTGAGGCTGCCAGGTCCAAGCCGAGGCTCCCGGTTGTTGCTGGTTGGAGTTGTCGGAGGGTGCTGACAGTGCAGCTGCCATTTGTGTCCATGCGCGGCCGCTGCTCGCGCTGTTCTTTGAGTTTCCCTGCTTCCTTCAACAAGCAGTGGAGTTGTGCGTATTGGGTTGGCATTTTCCGCACCATACTCCAGTTGCTCCACATTCTCGACGGATGTGACCTACATTTCCACATCGGTAATACTTCATTCGATTGCTGCCAGCGTTGGTCGAGCGGGGGCGTGCGGCTGCCGCTTGGAGGGGAGCAAGAGCTGCCATGACCTGATTCTGAGAGCTAATAGCTTGCTCACGCAGGGCTGTCGCTTGTTCCTGTAATCCCTCTCCTATTCTCTGCAGGGCATTTACTAAAAACACCTGGAGGCCAATCGGCATAGAGGCAGCCTTTTCTAATAGGTCCTGCACCCTCCAATCCCCTGGGGTCGAATTAATCAAGGCTCTAGTGGTAGAATTGCCATTTTGTAGGATGCATTGTCTTAGCAAGGCATCTTGCATATGATCTGCTACTCCCGCTTTAGACAATGCTTCCATGATCTTAATCTACAAAGGCACCAAGGGGCTCTTCTCTACCCTGTTTGATTCCCATATATATAGGTATCCCTCCCGGGGTTTTAACTTTATCCATCGCTCTCTTGGCCACTGTCATAGCTTCCCTGAGTTTGTCAGGTCCTAAAGCTGCTTGGGTCTCAACTCTCAGAAATGCACGTTGCCCTATTAGTTCATCAACCGTGATCCCTGTCAAGGCATCCCCCTGGGCCCTTGGGAGATTTGCACTCAATGCAGCCTCCTCTCTCCAGCGCGCCTCAAACAATAGTCGTTGATGCGGGGTATAAATCAATTTGGCAATGCCTCTGACATCTGCAGGCAACAGCACTTGGGCATTAAACATGTAATCGAGCATCTGTTTAACCGGTTCACTAGAAACTCCATAATTCACCACTGTGGCACGCAACTGGGCCAGCATTTTCCAATCTAAATTTTGCACCTGTGCCTGTTGCCCACCCCCTTGCAGGTTAGGCATATAAATGACCGAAAACACTAAGGTCTCCTGAGCCGCTGCAACGAGATCAGCGTCCCCCTTTTCCATCCCCTCGCGGGTGAGCGTATGTCAGATTTCATGTCTCTCCCTGGCCATGGCCTCCGCGAGGTCAGCTTCTGCCCCAGGGACAGGCTCCTGGCTACTGAGAGAAGCAGTTGCCCGAGGTGGGTGAGGGGGGTTGTGGTGACCATTCCCGGGGATCGTGATACTCGGCGGCTCAGCGGGGAGGGCGGATGGCACCAAGCAATTTCACATCCTGGCTGTTACGAGACATCTGTTGCTCAAGGTTGTTATGAGACATCTGTTGCTCAAGGACATAGTTTTCATGCTACAAGTCACGTACTCTCACACTCTTATCAACTTAACACTGTCGTGTCCCTTGCTGCATAGCCATTCTTCAGATAAACTCTCTACACTCCCTTCCTTGTCCCCAGTGCTGTGGGGGCCGGGCTGTGCTCAGGGGGTGCTCCAGGCTGACGTGTTCCACCTGGCAGCTGCAGGTGACCCCGCCCTGGGAGTGGGGGGGTTTCCAGCAGCACCAGAAGTTGGTGGGTCCAGTCCCCGTTTGGGACCACATTGGTGGCCATCACAGAGGGCTCCTGCTGGCCCTGGAACCACCTCAGCTGGATGTGGGCAGGGTAGAAATCCATAATGGGGCAGAGCAAGTGGCCAGGGTTGTGCTGGGAGCTCGAGAGCCCCAGCAATATTGACACAGTGGGATGGGCCTTGGAAGAGTCTGGGAACACACTGGGATCAGCTGGGGAGAACTGAGAGAGATGGGAGAGGGCTGGTGTGATTGAGAGGGACTGGGAATTAAATTGGATAGGATGGGGGGAGACTAGAAGAGAGGGGAGGTCTGTGATTGGACTCAAAAGGATTTTGAATGGACTGGGAGGGCACTGGGAGAGAGGGTGGAGGTCTGGGAGTGGAGTTACAAGGAATGGGATAGACTTGGAATGGAATGGCTTTGGACTGAGAGGAATTGGGAGGGACTCTGGGGAGGGACTGTGACGACTCTGGGAGAGACTGGGATGGACTGGGAGAACCACCAGAGTCACTTGGGGTGAAGGGGCAGCAGGCCACATAAGGTGGGCTGGGTGCAGTGGGTCAATTCCCAGGGAGGTTTTGAGGGGCTCCAAGGTCATTGCCAGGGCAGTGCCCAAGGGGACATGCTCTGCCCCATGCTCACCTCAGTGGACACTTTGTACTTTTACTGGTAGTGCCTGTCCACTGCAGCCAGCCTGTGCTCCATCCATTCCAGGTTGCTGTTCCAGTACCTGGCAACATTCTCGCCAGAGGAGGCATCCCCCACATACAGCCCCCCATCACCACCCAAGTGCAGGAGTTGCTCCCACTTGTAGATGTTCCTCTGCACCAACCTCACCCGCTCAGTGCCGTTAATGAAGTGACACCCAGACTTAACCATCTCCTGGAACAGCCCTTCGTGTGCAGGACACAGCTCTGGGGGTGCCCCCCGCAGCAGCCCAGAGTAGCCAAGAGTCCTGAGGCAATCCTGACTCTGCAGCCCAAGTGCCGCACGGCCACCAAGGGACCTTTCTTCCCACGGTCCCAGTTCCTCTCTTCCACCCTTCTCCATATTTTCCTCCCACTTTCCCAGAGCTCCCCAATCACCAGCTCCCCCCAACATCTGTTTGGGGGTCCCATCTCCCCATTTCCCTTTCTCTACACACCGTCCCAACACTTCCCCTCCTGCTCACCTGGAAGCCCTGCGCCCCCAGCAAGGGGGGCTCCAGTGCTACCAGCAGGGCCCCAGCTGCCGCCACACACGCCATGGCCAGCGCTGGGCAGGGTCTGACACCTCCCCCTCCCCAAGTTGCCCTGGTGGAGGGTGCTGGGGGCGAGGGTGGGGCGTGGGTGGAGTCCAGGTGAGGAGATCTGGGTGCTGCGGGACTGCCGGCAACTGGGGCGTCATCAGCGCTGTGCACTCTGATTGGCTCAATTATTAGAGTGCCTTCTCTGATTGGCTGAGGAGAGGCTCGGGAGTACAGAGAAGGAATAGGAAAGATCCCACTGGGACAACAGACCCAGCCTGGGCACAGGGAGGGAATTTATTACCAACCAAACCACGGCAGCACAAGGAGAAGGGAAAGAAATCCCTCCAACACCTTCCCCCTACACAACAGGGATCACCCACAACAGGGGTAATCCACCATGGAGAGACGGGGACATCAGAGTTTAGACCAGAGCCAATTTTATTGTGTGGAGCAGGTGTTTATAAAGGGATTTACTTGTACAGTGCTTATACAGGGATATGTTTTTGATAATAATTTCCCATTGGTTGCACATTCTTCATGACATCAGGTCACCTGGAAACCTTATCACAAAGTCTCACAACATGTTGCCTGGCCACTACTTGCCCAGGGAGACTTAAACTGTGTCTGTGTCTCCCACAGTTTCTGCTCAGTCAAGCCTCAGATATCGGGCCCCTTTATCAGCTCCAATGTTTTACTCTCTGTTTAATTCCCCATAAGGGGACACAAGGGCTCTGCCTAACAGGGATCACTGGGGATTATCCAGCCCAGATCCTCCCATGGGGGATGGAGCTGCAGCAGCACACCAAGCTCTTCCCTCACTCTCTTCCCTCTCTCCAGGCTCTTCCCTCACTCTCTTCCCTCACTCCAAGCTCTTCCCTCACTCTGGGCTCTCACAGGGCCTCCCTTAGTGCTGCCTCTGTTGTAGTCTGGTCAAGGCTGCGTTCCTGGAGAAGCTCTCCCCGCACTCCCCACACTCTCCCTGGTGTGGATGTGACGGTGGATGGTAAGGTTGGAGTTTCGCTTGAAGCCCTTCCCACAGTCAGGGCAGCGGAAGGGCCTCTCCTCTGTGTGAATCCGCTCATGTAGGAGGACACTGGAGCTGGTATGAAACCTCTTCCCACACTGGGGACACTCGTAGGGCCTCTCCCCAGTGTGGATGCGCTGGTGTGTTCTAAGATCTGAGCTCCGCCCAAAGCTCTTCCCACATTCCAAGCAGGTGTAGGGCCGTTCCCCAGTGTGGATCACCTGGTGCCAGATCAGCTCAGAGCTGTTTCTAAAGCTCTTCCCACACTCCCCACATTCGTAGGGCCTCTCCCCAGTGTGGATCCTCTGGTGCCGGATCAGGTGGGAGCTCCGGATAAAACCCTGCCCACATTCCAAGCACTCATAGGGTCGTTCCCCAGTGTGGATCACCTGGTGCTGGATCAGGCTAGAGATGTCTCTGAAGCTCTTCCCACACTCCCCACACTCGTATGGCCGTTCCCCAGAGTGGATCCCATGGTGCCGGATCAAGTTGGAGAGACGGCTGAAACCCTGCCCACATTCCAAGCACTCGTAGGGCCGTTCCCCAGTGTGGATCACCTGGTGCTGAATCAGGCCAGAGCTCTGGCTGAAACCCTTCCCACATTCCAAGCACTCAAAGGGCCGTTCTCCGGTGTGGATCCTCTGGTGCCGGATCAGGTTGGAGCTCTGGCTGAAACTTTTCCCACATTCCAAGCACTCATAGGGCCTCTCCCCAGTGTGGATCCTCCGGTGCTGGATCAGGTGGGAACTCTGGCTGAAACCCTGCCCACATTCCAAGCACTTGTGGGGCTTCTCCCTGCCATGAGGCTTCTCCACCAGCTCCGAGCTCTGGCTGGATCTCCACCCACCTTCCTGGCTAAGGAGGGCTCTTTCCTCCCCGCAGCTCCCTGGGCTGGGTTTGCAGCTCCACATGATGGATCTCCAGGGCTTTTCCTCCTCCTCCATTCAGCCACGCCCTGGGAATGAAAAATCCTGGTTTGGGGGAAAAGACAAGAGGAGACCACCTTGGATTGGGCATCCCTCCTTGCCCAAGTTCATCTCAGAAAATCATTGGGAATCTTGTGTCTGTAAGAACCTCCAAAACACCAAGACTCAGCCCAAAAATGTTGGGAAGGATGGATAAATATAATTGCCTGGCAAAAGATTTACAATAGTACAGCCAGGAGGAAAACAACCCCCACTTCTGGCTGGACAATACCCTTACCTACAGATAGGTCCAACAGTCAAATGGACTGTTCCATCTCAACCCCCCAAAATGTATGGTTCATCCCACATCTGTAACCCTCCCCTAAAGCTTCAAGTGTCTGTAACCCCATTGGCCCAAGTCTTGTTCCAGCCCACCTTGAAGCCCCCTGATAAGGGGTCTCCGAGGAGCCAGACGCTCTCTTAGATCTTCCCCTCTCTTGGATCCTCCTCCCTCTTGGAATTCCCATCACCTAGAACTCTTTGTCTCTCCCGTCCCCCATCACCTCGGGCCTTGCCATGTGCTGCGTCTGGCAGCTCCAAGCAAGATCTTTCACCATCCCTAATAAACCCTATATTCTAAGAGCAGCCTTCAGAGATCTCTCGTCCCCATTCATCAAAACCGTCCTGGAGAACAGCATTCACTACACAAAAATCCTGAAAACTTCAAGACACAGATCAAAAACTCCCCAAACATCACAACTCTGCAAAAACCTCCTCCAAAAGATAAAGATTCAGCTGCCACATAAAACCAAAAAACCAATATGTAGCTCAGAAAGCTGAGAAACACCAATATTCACCCCCTGAAAATCGTGGATTCCCCTCCACAGTAACCTGCTGCATGGGGCGGAGCAATGCTCCTGGGGCTGGGGGGAGGCTGCAGATACAGGGAGGGGTGGAACCTTGTGCTGCCTCCTGTTTCTGCTCCTCCTCCTCCTGTGTCTCTGCTTTTCCTCACACTCCTCTTCCTCCTGCTAGTCCTCATTTTCCTGCACAATCCCACCCTCTCCTGCCACATCTATCGTTTGACCATTTTGTTCCTCAAGCCTGCTTCTCCTTCCCTTCTCCTCCTGCCCCCAGGCCCAGCACCCACTGCCGGCTCCCTCTTCCCCCCAGACCCACAGCATCCCAGCCGAGGGGCAGGGATGGAGCTGGGGCAGGTCGGGCTGGGGCAGCGCTGGGCTCTCGGCGCTCCCGCCCGCACTCGGTCCCCACTGCAGCCGCTCCCGCCAGGACAGCGGGGGGGCCCGGCC